CGGAGAAAAGGTGGCGGAACTCAAACCTGGCCACGCCCTCATCAAACCCTAGGACCGCCCCTTTAGAGAACAGGAATGCAAGTAAAATTTGGGAGGGGCTATTTCCGGTGTGGGAGGGGCTATTTCCGGTGCGGCCGGCCCGGAAAAAGGTGCCGGAACGCGGTTCCGCCGCGTTCCGGCTGAAAAAAAGCCCTGACGATGAGAGGGTAGAGTGGGACGTTGGAATTTCTGGACTCTGCTCATGCCTTGGTCTCCTCCACAAGACCTGCCCTCACCTCTGGTTGGTGAAGACAGAAAATACTGGGCTCTTGATCAATACCGAGAGCTCCTCAAACAAGGGAAAAAGAGAATCAGCTGGAAATTGAATACAATCTGGAAATACTCACAAGAACCACGGGTGTTTCTGAATCTGTTCCAGCTAAACCCACCGCATGGAGAAAAATAAACCAACATTAGGGTCCTTTTCCCAAACATTAATTTTAAAAAAGTTACAAACTACGACTGCCCTATCCATCGCTATCACTCATCATTAAAACATGTGTTAAGAATAAGATGCCCTTATCTTCAGACATTCAATATATAAAATAAGCATAGACATTAACTGAATCTTAAAATAGATTTGCTTTCAAAAGCCAGGGGCAGAATTATAGTCTGTGGGGCAGAATTGCTCATCTTGGAGATGGCACCTTAAAAATCTCTTTTGGCCTTTCCAAAAGATGCCACCAAATTATAATTTTTGCATTACGAGAGGATGTTCTAGAACAGGGGTCCGCAACCTGTGGGCCTTGGCCCACTACCCGGCCGTGGCCTCTTGGCCACCAGGCCGCATGAATGGCTGGCCAGTGCTCACACATGTGTGCGCGCACTCCCCACCACCACTTGCGCTAGCAGTGCTGTGAATGCCGTGTGGGTGCTAGTGTTGCGTGGGCGCTCGCGCCGCCCCGAGATTCGTGTGGGCGCTAGCCCCGCCTCAAGTGTCTCATGGGTGCTAGCCCCACCCCTAGTGTCACACAGGTACTAGCCCCACCTCCAGCATTGTGCGGGCGCTAGCCCCACCCCAATGTCATGCACGCACTCACTCCGCCCCCGTTTGCGTTGCATGCGTGCACGCGGCCCCATACCTGCCCCTTCCTTTCCCTCTGGGCTGCCAACCTAGAAAGGTTGGGGACATCTGTTCTAGAACAATATTACCTACACATAATTGTTTCAATCAAATCCTAATTAAATTTCAAGCCAACCAGATCATATGAAAAACGACCATATCAGAGAAGAATTCTAACCCAAAACTTCTCAAATTCCTCGTGTGTTCAATCACACTTGGCCAATAAAGAATATTCTATTCTATTCTATTCTATTCTATTCTATTCTATTCTATTCTATTCTATTCTATTCTATTCTATTCTATTCTATTCTATTCTATTCCATTCCATTCCATTCCATTCTCACTGTTTCATAGAAATTTATGACAGCCACTATCATTCTTTATATTCAAGAATGACCCCTCCCCAGGGGGCAACTCCTCTTGCAATCTGAAATGGTGCTATCCAGGACCCTCCATCCTTTTTCCACCCCAGCATCCAAGCATGCTCCTTCCTCCATTCCTCCAGTCTTGGGAACGATAAGATGACTCACACTGAGACGTTTCTCTGGCTCCACCTCAATCATGCCCCGCAGGAGATTCTGACAGTCTGGAGGAATGAAATGGGGCATGTGAAAAATCCCACGTTTCACTTTTTCCAACAGCTGCCGTAGATTGTCATCATCAAAGGGTAGCGCCCCCTGCAGGAGAAAAGGGTGAAAGAAATGAAGACACCACAGAAGCTCCGTCAGATTTACGGTTTTGCAGGAATTCCTTGGGTTAACATTACAAGGTAGTCCCTGACGTACAACCATTTGTTTGAAGTTACAACTGCGGTTGTGTAATCAAAGCTTAAGATACAGGAGGATCTGGACAAACTTGAATACTGGGTGCTATCTAACAAAATGAAATTCAGTGGTGAAAAAAGTAAGGTTCTACATTTAGGCAAGAAAAACCAAATGTACAGGTATAGTATAGGGGGTACCTTGCTCAATAGTAGTAACTGTGAGAGGGACCTCGGAGTCCTAGTGGGCAATCACTTAAATATGAGCCAGCAGTGTGCTGCAGCTGCCAAAAAGGCCAACACAGTGCTAGGCTGCATTAACAGAGGGATAGAATCAAGATCACGTGAAGTATTAATACCACTTTACAATGCCTTGGTAAGGCCACACTTGGAATACTGCATCCAGTTTTGATCACCACGATGTAAAAAAGATGTTGAGACTCTAGAAAGAGTACAGAGAAGAGCAACACAGATGATTAGGGGGCTAGAGGCTAAAGCATACAAGGAATGGTTGCTGGAATTGGGTATGTCTAGTTTAATGAAGAGAAGGACGAGGGGGGACATGATAGCAGTGTTCCAGTATCTCAAGGGCTGCCACAAAGAAGAGGGAGTCAAGCTATTTTCCAAAGTGCCTGAAGGCAGGACAAGAAGCAACAGATGGAAACTAATTAAGGAGAGAAGCAACCTAGAACTAAGGAGAAACTTCCTGACAGTTAGAACAATTAACCAGTGGAACAACCTGCCTCCAGAAGCGGTGAATGCTCCAACACTGGAAGTTTTTAAGAAGAGACTGGACAGCCATTTGTCAGAAATGGTATAGGGTTTCCTGCCTGAGCAGGGGTTTGGACTAGATGACCTCCAAGGTCCCTTCCAACTTTATTATTATTATTATTATTATTATTATTATTATTATTATTATTATTATTATTATTATTATTATTATTATTATTATTATTATTATTACTACTACTACTACTACTACTACTACTACTACTACTACTACTACTACAATGGGTGCAGCATGGCAAGGTCACGTGATCACCGTTTGAGACCTTCCCAGCTGGCTTTTACAAGCAAAGTCATGGGGGGGGGGGGGAAATTTGCTTAATGACCATGTGATGCACTTAAAAACTGCAGTGATTTGCTTCACAATCATGGCAAAAAATGGTCATCGAAACAGGCACAGCTCACTTAACAACTGCCTTGTCTTGGTCGTAAGTCAAGGACTACCTGTAAAAGCCAAAGCACTGTTTAAACATGAAGGTGTGCAATGTTGGTCCTTTTGCCCTCATCTCCTTGATTAATCTTTCTTCCTTTCATTGCCACCTCTCTCGTGTCAAATATTCTCAGGACAACAATCAGAATCATTGGGAATTGGCCAGTTTATAAATCTAATAAATAATAATAATAATAACAACAGTTATAACTATGGCAGGTTGTCCTTGACTTACTACCACAACTGAGCCCAAAATTTATGTTGCTTAGCAAGACATTTGGTAAGTGAATTTTGCCCCATTTTAACTTTCTTGCCACAGTTGTTAACTGCCGTTGTTAAATTAGTAACACGGTTGTTAAGTAAATCTGGCTTCCCCATTGACTTTGCTTGTCAGAAGGATGCAAAAGGGGATCACATGACCCCAGGACAGTGCAACCGTCATAACTATGAGTCAGTTGACAAGCACCTGAATTTTGATCCCGCCACCATGGGGATGCTGCAGCGGTCATAAGTGTGAACAATGGTCACAAGTCACTTTTTTCAGTGCCATAATTTTGAACTGTCACAAAATGAACTACTAAGTCGAGAAGTACCAGTATTATCTCTTTTGTGATTTTCTATGGCAGCCTGAAGTAGCATATTCTCAGTGACAACATGCTGCCATAGTATTAGAGATCATCCAGTCTCATGTAATTGATTTGGTTTGCCTCAACCAGTTAGTAAAAATAATGCACACAGTTGGATGTCTTGCCTCAGGAGTCAAACAGGCTGCCCTTGCACTTTGGAGACCACAGTTGGGATTTCTTACACGATAAAGAGAAAAATCAACTTTGGAATTTGGAATTTGAGTATTAAATCAGATTTGACTAGAGAAATATTGTGGTTAATTAAAAATATATGGTTATTCAGAGTTGGAAGGGACCTTGGAGGTCTTCTAGTCTAACCCCCTGCTCAAGCAGGAGACCCTATACCATTCCAGACAAATGGCTGTCCAATCTCTTCTTAGAAACCACCGGTGATGGAGCACCCACAACTTCTGGAGGCAAGCCATTTCCACTGTCAGGAAATTTTTCTTTAGTTCTAGCTTGGATCTCTTTTTGATAAGTTTACATCCCATACTTCTTGTCCTGCCCTCAAGAGTTTTGGAGAATAGGTCAACCCCCTCTTCTGTCAATATTTGACAGCCCCTCAAATATTGGAAGACTGCTATCAAGTCACTCCTCATCCTTATCTTTGTTAGACCAGACATAACCAGTTCCTGCAACCATTCATTCTATGTTTTAGCCTCCAGTCCCTTAATCACCTTTGTTGCTCTTCTCTACACTCTTTGTAGAGTTTCAACATCTATTTTGTATCATGGTAATCAAAACTGGATGCGATATTCCAAGTATGGCCTTATCAGTGTAGTATATGTGATATTAACACTTCATGTGACCTTGATACTATCCCTCAGTGGATGCAGCCAAGGACTGCACTGGTTTTTTTGGCAGCTGCAGCGCACTGTTGGCTCATACTTAAGTGATTGTCCATTAGGACTTCTAGATCCCTCTCACAGTTAGATTAAAATTAGGAGAAGAATATATAATATGAATATTGGTTTTCTAGAATGTTGACTATTAGCATTTTAAGATAGTTCAAATATTGAATAATTTAAATTAGAGAAAGGTTGTTGTATTATTATCTTTGTACTGAAAAAGTTGGAGGAAACTTTTGTTTTATATTTGTGGTAATTTGGGAAGGACATTTTTAACTTGTCCTATTATTTGTCTCCCCCCCCCTTATGCAAGTTTGCATTTCAATGTTTGTTTATGAAATATAAAAATGTTAGTCTAAATCAGAGGAGGGGAATTATGGCCCCTTTGTGGCTGGCTCAGGAATTCCTGGGAGTTGAAGTCCACAAGTCATAAAAGGGCCACAGTTTCCCACCCCTGGTCTAAATGGATCCCTTGGGCAGAAGACAGTAGAACTAAATGGGGGTGGTGGTGTTAAATGCTCCCTGCCAGGAGTAAGCAAAAATTCTTGGGACAAGCTTACCACCAGGAGGGCGAAGAGGATGACACCACAACTCCACATGTCTGCGCGACGTCCGTCATACTTCTCCCCCTAAAGAGCAAGAAGCAGAGATTGGGAGCTTGATAATTGGTTTGGGGAGGTAAGGGAGGAGATTTCAGGAAACAATGAAAAATAAGAAATCAGAAGTGAGGGTGGGAGGTTTTTTCCAAGCAATTAAGAGCAACTGCAAAGGGGGATAACTATTACTGGGTTATAGCATGAAATTTTTTTTAAAACCCTAAAATGATAGTTGTTCTTCACTGTGTCCCATTTGGGAAGACAGATAAGGGGAAGAGACCTCCAGATGCTCAAGGGAAAGTTTACTTTCTGACTGAGGAGAGTTTGCAAAATCTTATCACCATATATTAGGTTGACATTCCTTGGAAATCCATGTGTTCTAATGTGGATCTGGAGATTTCTTTGCCTCCGACTTCCTGTGATTGGCTTTTCCAGTATTTTTTTAAAATTGGGATAGTGCCCTTACCCAGCAGAATCTAAATTTCAGCCCAAACATACATAAACAGTCACACAAACTTGAACACAGAGAATTGAGATCCCCAGCAATGTTCTTGAGAATGGATAGAGTTTCTTTCCTCTAACTTCAAAATATTCTTACTACCTGGGAGAAGGAAAGCAGTATAAATCTTCTGGGCCAGATTTTTTGATGAGTCTAGAATTATATATATACATGGTGCATGAAAGTACGTATATATGTACAAGCTCATTAGAATAATTAAAAGAATTCAATTACAGGTAGTCCTTGATTTATGACAGGCTGAATTTTTGATGGATTCAAAGTTCTGACAGTCACCACCCCCTGCAGTCATGTGATCGCATTTTGGGCACTCGGCAACTTGCATTTAAAGCCATTTGCAGAGTCCCACTGTCACGTAACAGAAATTTACAATAGTTTTCAATAGGAAAGAGGTGTTTACTTCTGATTTGAACAGAAAAGGCCCATTGTGGACTATGTATTCACTTAACAACCACCGGAAAAAATTGTAAAATCAGGCACGGTCATACGGTGACCTGCTTAATGACTGGTGTGACTTATGACCCTAATTCCAGGCTCAATTATGGTCACAACTCAAGGACTACCTGTATTACTTTAAAAAATATTTAGTTTCTACCTTCTACGTTTGTTCTGGGGTGCACCGCGACTCAAACAAATATATGTTATTTAAATTATTAAAAATATTTGTTGAGTTGTTGAGTTGTCTGTAATATTGTGTCATTCTGTGAAACTTAGGTATGTTCATCTTTACAATCTGGGGGACCCTCCAGATCTTTTTAACTTAAAACTCCCAGCAGTCCTAATGGTGAAGGATGGATGCTGGAAGTTGTAGTTCTGGATGGATGGCCACAAGTTACCCTTTCCTGATATGTATATCTCATATATCTCATATCATATCATATATCATATCAATGTATAACTGGCCCTTACTCCCTCTAATTGCTGCTTCCCATAATTTCTCTTGCAACTATCTTTCCCATTGAATGTATTCTTGAAGCAAATTGTTCCAATTGAGGGGACAATTGAGGGAGGATAAAGCAGATTTTGAGGGCTCCTTGCCCTGATCCATTGGACAAGGAGGGAGAGGGGGAATCAGATACCAAAAAAGATAAGGGGAGGGCACTAGGCCTGAATCCTTACCTTGATCACCTCTGGACATGCATAGTGAGGAGAACTGCAGCCCAGCATTGGGGGCAGAAAGAAAGAGAAAGACAGAGAGATAGGAAGAGTGAAACGCCAAAGAAAGCTAACCCACAGGGCCATGGGTTCAACAAGCATGTGAAGAGAAGCCTGTGAGATATACCAACCCTCCCCAGTCTAGGATGGGTTGTGGAAATCCTTGACTGTTAGATGTTTGGTGGGTTTCAGGTGCCAGGACAAACCTTCCTTGGCATCCTCGAGTCAATTTGGGAGTGGCCAATGATCCTGCTAGATGGGAATTCTGGGAATTGTAGTCAATCCCATGTGGTCCGAAGAAGACCGCTCTAGGCCATTCCACATCTAGCACAAGTGGCTTCTTCAGCAACTTCCCCACATCTCTAGAAATGGCGGAATCTTTTCTTCCTTCCCACTAAAGACAAATATGTCCTTTCTTTGAGGTCAAAGGCAGCCATCAAACGAAATTCCTATCTTTTAACACGGAAATCTGAAGACCAAGCTAAACTTGACATTTACACAATTAGGAATTGTGGGAATGACTTTTTAAAAGGAAATTATAGCTGTGACGGGGAGGGAAAATCTTGGTAGGGATTCTGGCACTATGGAATCAACTTCCTCAACAGATGTCATTTGTTTTAAGAAAAAAGTGC